GGACGCGCCAGATCTGCGTCCACCGTGCTGGCGACCCCTTCCCACTCGATGCCCCGAATATACGGCAGCCCCCTGCCACCACCACCCACTTCTTTTCCATTCCCTGGAAACTTTCCCGAGCCAGGGAGATCCTGCCCCAAACCCCCGCCCGTGGGAGCGGAGCAGCAGGGACTCCCAGGGACCCAGCTACTTCGAGGGGGAAGGCAGGGTGGGGAGGGAATCAGGGGGCGCCCAGTGCCGGGGAGGGCCGCCCCAAACCCCAGATTGGCGGGCAGGTCAGCCAGACGCCCCCTCATTCCGGCTGGGCTCTCACCTGGGTTGACGCGGTCGCTGCCCCTGGGGCGCTCGGAGGCCGAGGTCGCTAGAGGCGACAGCAGCAGCAGCAGCAGGAGCCAGGGCACCGGGCCCGGGGAGTCCATGGAGCCGGACGGGCAGGGCGCCTGGATCCCAGCGCCTCCAGGGGGCTCGGGGCGGCCCCGAGACAGGGAGGAGCAGGGCTGCGGCCCCGCCTAGGAAAAAAGGCGTAGCTGGAGGCGAGCGGACCTCGCCGGCCGGCGCGCCGGGACAAGGGGAGGATTGTCCCCAGCTGGGGCGCGCGGCCGCAGCGGGAGCGAGCAGGGGGCCTCCGGCGCGGGCACGGGCGCGGGGCGACCGCAGGGTCACCGGCTTGGTGGGAGCCTGGGGGCTCCCCACGGCTGGCCGGACGAAGCACTCGGCGCCGGGAAGGGAAGTGGCCACCGGGGTGCAGGGTCGGGCCGGAGGCGGAGGCGAGGCCGGGCCCCAGCCCGGGCGGAAGGCCGGGAGAGCGGGGCGGGGCGTGCAGGCCCGGGACGTGCAGGGTCGGCCTGGCGGGGAGGCGGGAGGAGGGGTTTCTGCGGGGCTTGGTGTCGTCAGAGGGTCACTGGGACCTCTCGGATTTTCCACGCACACCGCCCACCGCCCCCGCCCGGGGAGGGGCTCCGGGCATCATCAGAAGGTCCCAAGGAAACGCCTTTCAGCCGAGACCACCTCTCTGAACAGGACCCAGGTCTGGGCTTCCGCAATCGATAAAGCGGCTTCCAAAAGATCCATTCGCTTTGAATTCCATTTTCCCACCAACTGTGTGAAGGCCCGCCTTGC